TGGTTCAAGTGGTAGAGTGCTCGCCTTGAGCTGAAGAGCTGAGAGACAGCGCCCAGGCCCAGCGTTCAGGCCCCATGACTAACCAAAAAAAAAAAAAAAAAAAATCACGGTTCTGGCTAGGCGCTGAAGGCTCACACCTGTAATCTTAGCTACTCAGGAGGCTGAGATCTGAGGATCACAGTTCAAAGCCAGCCCTAGCAGGAACGTCCATGAAGAGCTCAGGGACAGTGCCCAGGCCCCAGAGTTTAAGCCTCATGACCGACAAACAAACAAATAAACTGGTTGAGACTGACCCCAGCAAAAGCATGAGCACCCTATCTGAGGGGTAGGGGTGAGGGGAAGCTGAAAGCACAAAGGACTATAAATATAACTGAAGTGTAGAACACTTGCCCTAAGTGCAACCACAAATAATCACAGAAACAACCCCAAAAAAGCCCAATGGTGTGAGCTAGTGGTTCACACCTGTGGTCCTAGCTAGTCAAGAGGCTGAGATCATGCAGGAAAGATCCCAGCAGCAGGAAAATCAGTGAGACTCTCTCTCCAGTTAACCACCAACAAGCTGAAAGTGGAGGTGTCAAATAGAGCACCAGCATGGAGCAAAAAAGCCAACCAAGAGCACAAGGCCTTGAGTTCAAGCCCCAGTACCAGCACCTAAATAAATAAATGCCAGAAGGAAGAAGGGGAAGGGAAGAAGAGAGAAAAGGGTGCTGGTGGCTCACACTTGTGATCTTAGCTACTCAGGGGCTGAGACTAAGAATCAAGATTTGAATTCAACCCAAGGCAGAAAAGTCCCTGAAACTTTTCTCCTCCCTTGCTTACACCACACAGCCCATAGCATCTCCTGGCTTCAGTACTAGGTCAGGGACGGGTGTGACATTCGGAACACAATGACTCCAAGGCATCTGCTAGAGCTGATAGAAAAGACACAGCTGTGAGGGTGGAGCTGGTGCAATAATTTTATCACCATGAGGTAACCTGGTCCCAAGTGTGAGCCAAACCAGAGGGGTCAGCATCAGATTCTAGAGTGTAAACTCCACTGAGGCTCATCTCCTTCACCCTCAAACGGAGACCAGAAGTGTTTGTGCCCATGCACGCACATGTGTGAGTGCGCGTGCGCGTGCGCGCACACACACACACACACACACACACACAGTGTCATTTCTTACCGAGACAAGGTCTTCCTATTAGTTTGCCTCAAACTTTTGCTCCTCCTACCTCAGACTCCTGAGAGCTAAAATTACAGCTTGTTTTGTTTTTCTTAAAATAGTTTGAGTTTGATTTTCTGTCCCTTGGATGTCAGGATGAGGACAGCAGGATGAGGGTGACTGGCAGACAACAGGCAAACAGCAGCTTGGAGAGGAATCCAAGGACCTGCACACGTACTTTGGCCTGGGAACGCGTCTCATCTGCCCAAAGTCCTTCTAGTAGGTTCTCAGAGGTTCAAGATCTCAGGTCTAAGTAAGTCCTGGGGTTGATTTTGTTGTTGTTGTTTTGTTTTTCCAGTCATGGGGCTTTGTTGCTGTCTCTCAGCTCCTCAGCTCAAAGCTAGCGCTCTACCACCTGAGCCACAGCACCACTTCCGGTTTTCAGGTGGAGCTAAGAGTCTCACAGACTTTCCTGCCCAGGCTGGCTTTGAACCGCGATCCTCAGATCTCAGCCTCCTTAGTAGCTAGGATTACAGGCGTGAACCACAGGTGCCTGGCCTGGGGTTGGGTTTAAACTCCACTCCTCTTTCTTCCTGCCCTGCCAGGCTAAGGAACTCAGCTACCCAATAAGGCCAGATTAAGAGGAGACCTGGACTAAGGCCAGCCCCCAACCTGGGGTTTCATGGGAGAAGAGGGGTGACAGGGAGAGTGTAAGGGGGAGTGGAGGGCACCTGGTCTGTTGAAACCAGTGAGGATGAAAAGCAGCACCCAGCCAGATACTGATGGCTCAAGCCTGCAATCCTAGCTACTCAGTGGGCTGAGATCTGAGGCTCAGGGCCTGAAGCCAGCCTGCACAGGGAAAGTCCATGAGATTCTTTTCTCCAATTAACCACCTTAAAACTGGAAGTGGCACTGTGGGTCCAAGTAGTAGAGCCTTGAGCAAAAAAAAAAAACAGCTCAGGGCAACGCCCAGGCCCTGAGTTCAAGCCCCACAACTGACAACAGAAAGAAAAAAAACAAGAAAGAAGGAGAAGGGGGGGGGGGAGGAAGGGAGGAAGGAAGGGAGGGAGGGAGGTGGGGAGGGAGCAGCTCCCATGGGCAGAAGCTGCAGATCTGGGAACTTGGCCAAGAGAGGGAGGGAGGGGCAGGCATGCTGCCTTCCTGGAGGGAACTTTGACAACACTTATGCTGAAGGTCAGCAAGGCAAAGTGTAGGCCTGGCCTGGGGAGAGGTGGGAAAAGGGGGTGACAGTGGGGTGCAGTGAGCCTTGGCCAGGAGAGGAGAGACTGCCCCTGGCCGTCCATGGTGGGCATTCAGGCTCACTTCTCTGCCCTCAGGCATTCTGATTTTCTGCCAGCATGGGCCAGGCTATGGCAGTTCTTCTGTGGCACCCTGGGAAGGCCCAGGGCCCTGGGACTGGGCTGCACGGCACACCAGGCCAACACCACCATTTCCTAATCCCCAGCCTGGGTCCACTCCTCACACGTGGACTACACAAACTCTAGGCTTCTCCCCGCCCAGAGCTGGGCTGACAGCTGGGGCCCTGCAGCTGCCTGTGCCCAGGGGCCTCTGAAGGTCTCGGGACAGCTGCTGCCTTCGACCCAGCTGACCCTGGTCACTGAACGCTGCTCCTGATAGCCAGGCCCAGCCTGGACTCCCTGACCCCCTGCCCCAGAGCCCCTAGCCCCAGCCAAGGGGAGCCCTGAGGGTGGCAGTCCTCCAGAATGGGGCTTTCCCACCACTCCCCCCCCCAAGGAAGGCAGGGAGAACGTGGGCCTGCTCGCTCACCTCCCCCTCCCCTCCCCCTCCCCCCACGGAGCAGGTCTAGCCTTGGGGCTCCTCACTCCTGGTTGGCTCTTTGCAAGGCCCACTGCCCCCTTGGGGCTCAAGATCCCCTAGAATGTTTCTAGTAACTGAAGTTGCCTCTGGGGATGGGTGTTAGAAGGCTCATGGTCAGGACTGGGAGGGCTCAGAGAGCGATCTGTCACATCCACCCTTGTGTTCTGTGCAAACCCTTTTACCCGGTGCATGAATTGCTAGAAAAGAAAGGGGGAGGGGTTGTACCCTTGGCTCCCAGCTGAAATCCTAACTACTCAGGAGGCTGAGATCTGAGGATCAAAGTTCAAAGCCTGGGCAGCAAAGTCTGTGAGAGGCTTATCTCCAGGTAACCACCAAAAAGCCACCCAGAAGTGGAGCTGTGGCCCAAGTGGTAGAGCAAAAAAGCTTGAGCAAAAAAGCTCAGGGACAGCGCCCAGGCTCTGAGTTAAAGCCCCAATGTGCACGTGTGTAAACACACACACACACACACATTACTGTATGCAAAAAGTATGTGTGTGTATATATATGTACATATATACTTATAATTCTATACTTCTAATGAACACAGATTCTTGATATTTTTCCCAATGCACATGAGCTGTTGCCTGCCTTAATTATTCAGTAATGAGTCGAATTCTTAGTGACAAGGAACAGAAACCCAACCCTCAAGTAAATTAAGCCAAGAGCTGGGCATCAGATACTCATGCTTGTAATCCTAGCTAATCTGGAAGCTAAGATCCAGAGGATCATGATTCAAAGCCATCCCAGGCAGAAAAATCCATGGGACTCCATCCCCAAACTAACCAGCAAAAAAGCAGGGCAGGAAGCGTGGCTCAAGTAGAGTGCCAGCTAAGCAAGCTGCCATCCCTAAGTTCAAGCCTAGTACTGCCTAAATAAATTAGTTAAAGCTGAGCACCAGTGGCCTGTGCCTGTCATCCTAGCTACTCAGGAGGCTGAGATCTGAGGACTATAGTTCAACGCTAGCCTGGGCAGCAAAGTCCATGAGACTCTTATCTCCAATGAAAACCTGAAGTGGCACAGTGGCTCAAGTGGTAGAGCACTAGCCTTGGGCTGAAGAGCTGAGGGACAGCACCCAGGCCCAGAGTTCAAGCCCCACGACCAACAGATAAAAAAAAAAAAATTTTAAGCCAAAGTAGGAATTTGTTGGCTCACAGAGTAGACACTGCTTCAGGCATGGTGAACCCAAAACTATGCACAGTGTCATTGAGATTCATTCTTTTGGCTCTCTTCTTTCCTTGCAGTCCTTATTCCTATGTAGGCTCCTCCCTCAGGGGACAGCACTGACTGGAATTTGGAATTTGTAAGCCCCAGGCTCATGTCTGTGATCCTCTGATGTCTATGGTCCTCTGTTATCTATGGTCCTCCCGCCATCCTTATGGGTCAGATTAGCCAAGTGCAGGCCTCCATGCCATCTTTAGAGTTTTGGGGTGAAATCACACTTGAGACACTGGAAAATTGAGGGGAGGTCTATAGAACAAGAAGGGTGGATGCTGAGGAAGGAGAACCAGCTGGTCCTCTGCTCTCTTGGACTGACCCCATCCTGGGCCTGGTCTATTGGACATCTCATTTCTGATCACATCATGCATTTGTTCTCAGTATTCCTGGCCTTTGTCTGCTCCTCCTAGATAGGATAGCCTTCCCCTTCTCTGCCTGGCAAACTCCTACTCACCCTTTACTACCCTGTTCATTTTCCTCTTGAGATCCTTCTAATGCTCCTATTCACTTTCTCACCCACGACAGTGCAAATCCTTTTGTTTTCTGGTCTCCTTGATTCTTTTTTTTT